TTTAAAACTTTGCCTTCCTTGTAATTTTTTTGTAAATTTTCGTTCGATAATTCATCGTACGTGTATGTTTCCAAAATGAAATAAATGTATATAATTAAAAATTAGAAAAAATAGTGAAAACAAAAAATGTAGCTGCAAAGAAATTTTGAGAATAAAAATTTCTTGTAATTATACTTTCTCGCATTTTCTACATGAGAGGAAAAAATTGCATGACGAAATATCAATTGAAACGAATTAGAGAGAGCATTTACTAGTATAAATGATCCCTAAATGCGCTCCCTTATTTATTTTGAAAATGTCAGCCGAAAGACGTCATTCGCGTTCGGAAAATACGACAATCGCGTAATTGGTGTATATTTCCAGACCAATCATTTCAATCTTCTCGAAGGCTTGACGGTGTATATTTTCTGAACGCTGTTGAGCGGTTTCAATCGCGTTTTTCGCGCGTGTCAATAGTTCAACATGACGTCTTTCAAAGTTTGAAATTCTTTGAAATGTGACGTCCATTGTGTTGCGACGGAATTTGATTCCGTTTTGTCGATGATCGTGTCGAGAATCTTTACCGTAGCCTGTGAACGCGATGCGAGCACAAGTGACGAGAAGCTACGTGTACTACTTGAAGACTAGTGGTACTTGCGTTGTGGTGCTCGGGTAAGTGATTCCAAGGTCGACTTTCTGCCATTCGAAATCAAGGTTACGTCAAATGTCACATGTTTACATTGGAATTATATCTTGTTCAGAGGATGCTGGTTCCTGTATCAACTGCGACAGGTATCGCAGATCATTCGGTCGGCTGTCAACACAAATGTTTTAAATTTAGAGCAAACCCGGGCACAGTACATCTACATTGATGATCCTCGATTTAAAGGTAATCATCCACTCTCAACAGCAGTATATAATTGTTGTGTTTTGATATATACTGCCAGTACTAGAAATCTGCAGTTTACATTACATGTACTATATATTTTCAGTACTGGTATTATATATTGGAACATGGCCTATATATACATTTCTATGTATAAATATTGATCAATCCTCTGATTTCAGATATTTTCATGTTCAGGAAAGATGAGGACTTACATGGATCTGCATCAGAGAAGCCAACAAGTCTCAGTGATGCTCTGGCGAAATGGTGGAAGATGAGGACTCATAAGATTGCATATAAATTATTATATATGGCTCAACATGGGAACAAAAACGAACGATATAAAGCTGTTACTACACTTGGTTCTCTGTCGCACTTAAAAGGTAACAGCTCTAGACCTATGTTCTCATCTGAGTGTCATCTAAATATCATTTTATCTTTGTTGCTAAACAAAGATAAAATAATACTTCGGGTAGAAATCTGAATGTATCTAAGGCCAAAATCAGACTAAATATGAAGATTGAGATTAAAGATTGAAATTTAACCAATAAGAACAAGAAAATGTTAACTCCTATTGTTTGGATTGATCAAATTTCAATCTTTCAATTTTCGATAGTCTTGAGTCCAGCTTTTAGAGTGTTTCTCTATAAATCTTTCAGATTGGCAGTATCGTCATTTGGCACAGATGATGGATGCTAAAACAGCAGTAGCTCTCGCAAGAATGCCCAATGTTAACTCATTATTCTTTTTGCAACCACCATATTATCATGTGCAGTACAATTTAGATGTATGTAGTTTCTACAATATTTTAAATTTAATTTTCAATTATTTTAAGCTTAACTTTCTAAAAGGATAAAATATATACATAGTATTTGCCAACATTTTTTGTTGTAAAAATACATTCAATATTTTTTTACAGGATGTATTAGAAAAGGTACATTCGCTGTTGTTGAATTTGAATGTTTTATGTGACAACACACATCTCTGCCTCACACAATTTCTCAGTAAAATGTTTAAAGACTCGCATCGAGTAAGTACTTGAATGTGCATGAAAAAAATATTAAAATATGAAAAAAAATGTAGTATATGTTTACATATATAATTATTTAAATTAAATATTATCTTTGATGTTAAAAAAATTGAAATATCTATTAATTAAATTATTATTCTGAAATTATAGTTAGTTATAAATATGCAATATAATGCAACAAATAATTTTAGAAATAATTTAATTTATAGATATTTCAACTTTTTAATGTTACAATATTGTAATTGTAACTTAATAGCATCCATGCTGTAATCATCTATTCAATTGATGTATAGTATCTTGTAGAATGGTTTGACTATGATTTGACAAGCGTGGGTCTTTCCGTGGAAACGACAACAGCTCGAGATGATGAATTACTTAAAAGTTGCATTCATGCAATCTGTCATCATTCTTCCGTGGAACAATATAGCAAACGTAAATTATGAAAATGTTTTTGTGTAATACTACAGATGTACACTTTATATCTTTTACTTAATTTTTGGATTTTAGATTTGATTAATGCTGGAGCTCTGCCAATATTGACAGCGATACAAAAAATTTGCAATGACGACATAGAAATATGTATATTACTCGCAAGGATATTATCCAATATATCTCTTCATTCCGAATATTTAGAAACTATCTATGAGTCCGGTAAGATAGACTTGTTTTTTCTGTAATATATTATTACATTGTTGATGACATAACTGCTTTGATAAAGGATGGATCGGCATATTGTCACATTGGTCCCACAGCGATGACATTCGTCTATCAGCACAGGCGATCAGTGCACTGGTGAATCTAGATACAAATGGAAACGAGAAAGCGAAATATCCGCAGAGCGTCTATCTTCTCCATCCTCTACACACAGTTCACGCAGCAACAAAAATGGACGTTGTATTTCTACACGGATTGTTAGGTGGAATTTTCGTTACTTGGAGACAACGTGACATTGATACTTCTGTACTTGGAGTTGTGGGTTTGTTATTATTTATGTACAACTATAATTTCTCGAATTTTATTCTTTCGTTATTTCTATCGTACTCATAAAGACTATATAAGAATAAGAATAAAAAGTTAAAAGATGAAGTATGCACGGTAATCGAATGTTATATTTTAAAACGTTGCAGAATTTATCTTCAGACATATAGACTTTCATATGGATTTGATTCAGTAATAATTATACATATATTGTCGGATTAATAGTTTCGAACATAATAACTTTCGAATTTTGCAATATAGTACATTTTTGCATAGCAGAGCATTCAGTTATCAATGCAATGCTTTATTTCTTTATAATTGTTTATGATATATTTTGATATAATTTTTAGAGCTACATTTCTCATAACAGAGATTATCTCTTTACCTTTTCACATTATGCGTTTAATTGCAGATAATAATACATTGGTCGAAAATACTACAGACTACTTGTCTACTATGGTTGATGACGATCGTCCTCAAGAATTCTTTAAAGACTTGGCTCGCGATCTGCATTTGCGCGAATGGAGAAAAATAGGTCAAGATTTTGAGGTGATACTAGATGATTGTCCACAAAACACAAACGATCGTGCGTGTGGACCTTATTTCTGCAGAGGGTAGATTTTTATATATTTATCAACTTCGATATATTATACTGATAACTTGCTTATAAACAAATATCATATATTTTTAATTTGTGAATTTTTACACGCAATACTGTAGAGATGACACCTGTATGATGAATGATCTTGATTCTACATCCAAAACACTCTGTTGGCCTAAAGATTGGTTACCTGTGGATATACCATCCTTGCGAATCATAGGTATTAACTATGGTACGAGTTTATCTATGTGGACTCCTTTCTGTCCAATAGAAAGCATGAAGTAAGTATTGTATTTCATTTGTTACTCTATGAGAATGTTTAAATTTCCCATAAATAAATAAATTTAGGTATTAAATATTCCGATAATTTTTGACGCATTACATTTATTTTTGTTAGGAGCACTATTAAAGAGAGAAGCGAAGAATTCATTACCAAATTGACAATGGCGAACGTGGGCCAACGGCCACTTATATGGGTCGCCCATTCAATGGGTGGATTATTAATTAAAAAAATGCTTGTAGAAGGTATGTATAAGCTGAACATTTACACTAATTTTTATACTTTGATAAATGTACCAAAACTATTACTATTGCTATTGTTAGAGTCATTATATGTTATACTGTGTTTGTAGAGTGGAAAACTGGAGATAAGAATGATATCTGCAAGAATACCAAAGCTATTCTATTTTACGGTACTCCTCATCGAGGTTCACATGTGGCGGCTCTGAAGCAAACAACACAAATGCTGCTATGGCCAACGGTTGAGGTTCAAGAACTACGCGAAGGTAATTGTCGATTTCTAGTTCTAATTAACGCGCAATGTAACTTATTGTTATAATGTTTCAGAATCACCACAATTGCTAAGATTGCATGAAGAATTTTTAGAAATGTTGAATAAATATCGCATAGAGATTGTGAGTTTCGCCGAGGCCAAACCTACGCTTGTAACTGCGCTGAAGTTTCCTTTTCAATTTGTCAGTCTCAATTCAGCAGGTAATGCTTTAAGATAGATTAGACGTAAATGTTGATATTTTGTTTGCACATAATTATACATTTTATCTTGGTATGTATTTATAGATAAATGTAATTTATCTAGATTCTTATCAACACACACACACACCACACACAAAACATACATACATATAAAACAACATACTGACTCGTCTTTCCAGATC